CCAGATCACATATTATAACATAACAGCGTTATGTTCTTTGATTCTTAGGACTTCATTACAAAGGTTTTCTCAACATGATCAAATTTGCGGTCATTGTGCCATTCATGAAGATATGCTTTGTTATCTAATTTTTGTATTAGGGAATTAGAACTTAGACCAATAAATTTTACCATTCTTCTTTAATCTTTAATGGGACTTTAATCAAAGGGCCACTATTAGCTATATAACTCCATAAAAAGAATTATTCTGTTCTCCCTAGATGGTTAGTTCACTAGAAATTATATTAATGTACAAATAAATCTCATTTCTAGAGCAAGATCAGAAAAGTTTAATTTTAAAATTCTCTGATTTCCTTTTAATTTTCTTTGAACATTTTAGTAAGTTAAATTGAAACTGTATTCAGCAAACATTTACTAAGCAATTCGTTGGTGTCAAATTTTGTCCAATACCCTAGAGATGTTAGATTGATTATTATCATAGGGCTAAATAAGACAATTTGGAAGAGTTTCACATAGAATGATAGAATAGTAAATTAATGCTTATTAAATTAATAAGATAGCTGCTGCCTAGGCATCTCTGTGAAATTTCCAGGGAGGAATACTTTACCATTTTCTCAGTTCAATGATATGTGCTTTGATCGAAGAGGATGCCTGTAGGCTTCAAAGTGCTTATACTCTCATAATACAGTTGCAACAATGTGTGCATTCAAATCTCTCATCATATTAGGTGACTTACATGTGAAAAACTGAGAAAAAACACAACATAAAGTATTGTTACATGTTAAATTATATGGTTAAGTTTATAAGTGCATAAAAAATTTACTTAGGAGAAATTAATGCGTACAGAATGTTCAGGGAAGGCTACATTGGAGAAAAAGAATCGGAGATGTGTCTTATAGATTTATAAGATGTGTCTTACAGATGTGTCTTATAGTGGAGAAAAGGGGAGATCATTTGGGGACAGGGGAATATGATGCATTTGAATGATTGTACAGAAAAATGGTGGGAAATGAATATGGTTAAGTCATCTTTGGGATCGTACTTCCCTTAAACTCTCATGATTCTGGTTTTTTCATCTGTAAAAAAGGAAATCACAGTACAAATTTGAGCTGTTGTGAGAATTAATGGAAGTATTATAGGCAAAGAATACAACACAGTCTTGGCCCACAGTAGACCCATTTGATGCTAGCTACTGCTAAGATATTCTTTTTTTCCTCCTACTAATTCAGACTTCTGTCATCTCAGACTCCTTCTTCAAGATGTAATGCAAGTATAATTGTTTGGAATGGTCTTCTCTGCCCCCGTCCGGTGGTAGAAGTGAGCTCTCCCTTTTCTTTGTATCAATACTATTCATGTGACACATAACAATTTACTTATTTTTCTTTTGATGAAATCGTTTCTTTTTTAAATCAATTTTGACTACTGGCTCTTTCTAATGCAGGAATACTTTATTCTTTAAAATAAAAAATCAGTGACTAAATCTATTTTCAAAGAATAGATTTAAAAGTTCTGGGATTATTCCATTTTGCCATCAAGGTCTTTTCTCCAAAGCTCTGTCTTTAATAACATGATATTTGATGGGAAAATACCACATCTCTCACTATAAACCTCTTTAATATAATAACATCTTGATTAGATTCCAAAATAATTATATTATTAATGGATTTGTAATGAAGATAGATCTTATTCACAGATAATGGTATAATGTATAAATAAGTGCTCATCTTTATTGCTGCAAGGTAGTCCTGATATCTCATTTTGTAAATGGATTTAAAAAATGTACTTGATGTGCAATTAGATACTGCTTATTTTTGGCAATTGATATTTGATAAATTTTGTGTTTTACTGTCAATAGTTAACAACCTAGTTCTAATTAATTAATCAATCAACATATAACACATTGAATTCTACTAACGAGGATGTGGTTAAAACAACCTGCTCTTATTTAAAAGTAATTAATAGGTTTTTAAGAGCAGTTTTAGGTTTATAATAAAATTGTGCAGAAAATAGTTTCCATATATCTTCTTCTATTCTACCCCCTTTCCCTACAATTTCTCTTATTATTAACAGATTCCATTAGTGTAGTACATTTGTTACAATTGATGAACATTTATTGATACATTATTATTAGCTAAAGTCCATAGTTTTCATTAGGGTTCATTCTTTGTGTTTTCCAGTTTATGGATTTTGATAAATGCATAGTGTCATGTATTCATCATTACAGTGTCATGCAAGATAGCTTCACTGCCTTAAAAATATTCTGTGCTCTACCTATTCATCACTTTCCCCCTCCCCTGAACACTGGGAAACCACTGATCTTTTTACTGTCTTTATAGTTTTGCCTTTTCCAGAATGCCATATATATGAAATTATATAGTATGTAGTCTTTTTATACACGTTGTTCACTTAGCAATTTGCATTTTGGGTTCTTCTATGTCTTTTTATGGCTTGATAGCTCAGTTCTTTATGTTGCTGAATATTATTCCTTTATACACATGCACCAGTCTGTACTTTTTTTTAATTAAATGGTTAAAAGTGTGTGTTTATATATTTTGTTTCAAGCGACTAATTTCTTTTATAATTGAAAGCATACTATATATTTTGTTTGTTTTTTTCCCTTTAATAATTAGAATATAACTTTTTAAGGCAATGCTAAGTAAATTTTGAGGTATGTCTTGTCAATCCTATTAATATACACCTGTAGAACAACATTTTTGGAATAATAGAGTAGTTTTGTTTTAATATATGTTACATGAATTGTTTCCTCACTTTTGCTGATATATATTATGAATTTAAAAGTACGTTACCAGTTTAAAGCATACTCACTGACACGTTTTATATGTGGTGAAATTTTGCTTTCCATGTGCCTAGGAGGAGGGTGGGTTGCAAAGTTAAATGGCACATGATAAACTATGCTGAATTCAACCACCAAATCAGGAGCAAACCACCACTCTATTTTTTCCTTTTTTTTTTTTAAACCTGGAATCCTTGTTTCTTATATTATCACTTTCCTTCCCTAACAAACTTGTTTACTTTTTCAAACCATCTCCCCTTTGTTGAAAAGGCTCTATTTGCATGAACTCTGCATCTGACCATCTAAATTCTGAGACTATAATCTATCAATTCCTTCCCTTGCTTCTATATATTTCCCTTTCCACCTCTACATTCATTCTACATGAATGAATGAATGATGTCTCCATGATTCCACTTCTGGTTTCTGAGATGCATGACATGGTTAGTTCTAGGTATCGATTCCAAAAGCTTAGGTTTATGTCCTTGGTTCCAATGCTCAATTAGTTCTATGACAATGAACACGTTTTTACCTTCTGTGGTTTCAGTTTCCTTATCAAAAAATGGGAATAACAGTAGTATTGCATAAGAATTAAATGTAACAATTCAAGTAAGCTTCTTAGGCCTTCTTATGCCTGTTGCATAGCAAATGCTCAAGTAGTATGAACAACTATTATTATTAAATTGACATTCCTTGACTTATGAATGTGAAATATGATTGTACTCTTGCCAGAACACTGAAGATTTGTTTTTCCTTGCTGGTTGTTAGGAAATATCTTTCTCTCTCCATTGCTACTCTCAAAGATATTCTATCCAAGCATCTCCCACCACCACCCACCTGCAACGCACAAGTGCACACAAACACATACTCAGAATAATATTGTCAACAAACTTAGCCTCTCAGAGAAGGTTCTTCCTTAAGTCCTCCAATAATCCCTGAGACAAGGAAACAGTAGAGGACCAATTTCATTCTTTTTAAAAAAAAATTATTTTATTTATTTTATTTATTTATTTTTGGCTGCGTTGGGTCTTCGTTGCTGTGCACGGGCTTTCTCTAGTTGCGGAGAGCGGGGGCTACTCTTCGTTGTGGTGCGCGGGCTTCTTATTGCGGTGGCTTCTCGTTGTGGAGCACGGGCTCTAGACGCACGGGCTTCAGTAGTTGTGGCACGTGGGCTCAGTGGTTGTGGCGCATGGGCTTAGTTGCTCCACGGCGTGTGGCATTTTCCTGGACCAGGGCTCGAACCCGTGTCCACTGCACTGGCAGGCGGATTCTTAACCACTGTGCCACCAGGGAAGCCCAAGGACCAATTTCATTCTGTTGTACATCTTTCTGTATTTCTTTAAGATGAGCATTTCCATATATTCTCTGAAAGCTCCATATGGTTATAAAAATAAAAGAAATACAGAAATACAGATTCCCATCATAGGTTGGAATAGATGCCTTTGTTACTTCAAAACATTGTAATTATTTATTTCAATATGTTAGAGCTTAAGTTCATCCCTGACAGATGGTTAAAACATGGCGAGTGAAAAGCATTAGTAATTTAACATATTTAAGCTACCTGGAAAATTAGCAACTTTGTGACAATTGAAAAATCATTTCCTAATGCAATTTAGGCAAGGCTGCAAGGATTTTCTTTACATAATATAAAACAAATTAGAGAGATAGTAACAAAATTCAGGGGCCGTAAACAAAATCACATTAAAAGAAGATTTTCACAATGTTAACTATTTAAAGAATAAAACATTTTAACTGTGCTCTGTAGTTTTAAAACCAGAAAAATAAATGTTTCTCGATTATCAGCTAAATAATTTGAGGTAGTTATTATTATTTACAGTTTGACCAAAGTATTTATAAAATCATAATTGATATTGTTTTTAAAGTTTAAATTAAAAGTATTATGAGCAGGTTTAGTAGCATAATAATCCAGGTACTAAATGTACAATGGTTTCTTCAGTGTTTTTTATCCTATACAGTTTTTTCTTTCTATATCTACTTGTAATAACTGCTGATTTGCTAATCTAGAAACTCATTGAAATGAGTAGCAGAGTAAATCAGATGCTTCACTTCAGAGTTAAGAATGCTTTAAGTGTTAACATGACTGTTGCTGAGACAATTCTTGAGTGTAAAGTGTTTGTTTTATTTAATATGGTTACTACTTTGTTGTGACTTAGAACACTTTTTTTCCTTTTTTGTGTTTCTCTCTACAGAAAGCTGACCTTGCAGTTGCTCCACTGGCTATTACCTACGTTCGAGAGAAGGTCATCGACTTTTCCAAGCCCTTTATGACACTTGGAATAAGTATTTTGTACCGCAAGCCCAATGGTACAAACCCAGGCGTCTTCTCCTTCCTGAATCCTCTCTCCCCTGATATCTGGATGTATATTCTGCTGGCTTACTTGGGTGTCAGTTGTGTGCTCTTTGTCATAGCCAGGTAACATGCTCACTTTTGTGATTTTTTTGGCAATTGTTACCTCCTTTTTCTAACTAATAATTGTCAAAAGTCACAATCAATGTTACTTTTCTTTTCCTTTATTTCCCGTGGGGTGCTGGAGAATAATGAACTTTTAAGAGTCATATAACTTATTATAATGTACTCTGATGCCTTTTTGGCAGAAAGCATGCTGGCTGTGTCAGTAAGCTATAAGTGCGGTAGAGTTTACTCTTCTGAATAAGAAGCTAGAAACAGTTCAAGTCACAGTGATATAAAAATTATTTCCTCATTTTGAAAATTTATCTTGAACCAGGTAGCAAAACACTATGTTTTATTTATTTGAATTAATAAAACAGTTATAAGAAAAATCAAAGTGGTAACATTTAAAAGGAGGCTTTTAAAAACAAAGGCTAATTAAAAATAAGCATTTTAAGTATAAAAAGATGACCATGATTTTCTACATAAAATTTGTCATTTTTTTTTTTGTTCACAGAATATATCACCACAAAAAATTTGCCTTTTTTTTTTTTTTTTTTTTGCGGTTCGTGTGCCTCTCGCTTTGTTTCTTTTCTCGCTCCCCAGCACAGGCTCCGGACGCGCAGGCTCAGCGGCCATGGCTCACGGGCCCAGCCGCTCCGCGGCATGTGGGATCTTCCCGGACTGGGGCAGGAACCCATGTCCCCTGCATTGGCAGGCGGACTCTCAACCACTGCACCACCAGGGAAGCCCATAAATTGCCTTATTTTTGTTGACATGTAGGGTATATTTCAATCATAACATGAGAAACTCAAATGCCTAAGTGAAAAAATACATATTTTTATGATGGCTTTTAAAATCTATGATATAGCTCAATATATGTTGCTTTTGCTACTTTATTGTTACTCTGGAAGTGGAAATTTGTAATCATTTTTCATTTATGCTTACCTCACTACCAAATTTTCAACAGATAGATTATTTTGATATGCTTTAGCTTATTTTTGCCTTAATTAAGGAGATTAAAACTATCCCTGGGCTCAGAGCTCTACTGTTACTGGAATGACTTTGGGAGTCACATACTCATTATAGTCTTCGAATTTATATTCTATCAGATATCAGAAAACTCTAAATCCAAGATGAATTAGAATGCTACATATAATTTTTTCATGTTGATAATAATACTTGTAATGTATAAATATATTTTTGCCTTAAATTCAAAATTAAGTATTAAATATGTGGGTTATTTTTTCAGTTAATTTATGTGGGTTCTTCTGATCAATTATCACTAAGGATATTTGTCCTTCCTTGAACTTTTTTTTAATGAAGTCATATTTTTGTTCCAAGCAGTGAAAAACGCTTAGTTTATTCAATTAAAAAATAAATAAAATCAATTTTAGAAGTAGCATAATATTTTTGATATACTTTTATATGTTTACATTTTATAGTTATGCACATAGATATTTCTGATACATTTACACATAAATGTTATACAGATTATAATTTTCTATCTAATAGGTTCAGTATTAACACGAGTCCTTCAGAAAATTATCAGTTGTATTTGACTGAAAATTTGTATTGGAACCGTATATGCATATAGCATTTGTAGCAATATGGTAGATTGAGTTAAAATTTTTATTTGAAGTTTAGAGTTTTTCCCCCCAAATGAGAATTTGGAGTATGAAGTTCATAAACTTTTAGCTCCCGTTTTTTCCATAGCTTGTACAAATAAAAAAGCCTTCTCATTTTTGAGCATCTTTGGACCAATTGCATCTTTTTTATAGTGACCAACACAAGGCTTCCTGTTTTATATGTGTGCAGAGAAGTGAGTTCACAGATTACAGCTTAAATAATTCAATGACTAGAGAACTCTACAGCCTTCCCACAGAACAAAAAGAAAAAAATAAATATTCTGAAGTATAGAAAAAACATTTCTTGATGTCTGCAGGTACACCTGTTCCCTCTTAATCAAATTAACTAAAGTTCTCAGGAAGGATATAAATAAAGCCTAGAGGAACATGTCCTGAGACAGTTGTGAGGCAATTGTGTGGCCATCAGTCAAGCTGAATTAAGTTCTAATAGCAGTTTCCAGGGGATCCTAAGCAAAGACTATTGTGTTACTTCAAATTTGAAATTTTAGATATTTCTAATTTTCTGAGCCCAAATCTTCTAAAATTAGATTCAAAAGCAGATAGTGAAACATCTGAATTTTTTTACAGCTTAAAAGAATATTAGCAAATAGAGACATGTGGTATGGATATGCACTAATCTAACTTGTAAAAATTTCTAAAACTCTCACTTTATATCAAATAATATAATATCTGTAGAATTTTGATAACCTGTATTAATTTTACACGAAAGAAATTCATCCATGTCTTTCTATCTGAGAACATAACATTGACTGGTGTGCCATTTTTTAGGGTCTTTGAATTTTAGAATATAACTGTTGAATTTTGTCAGTGATTAAATGAATGGATTTGAAAATGATTCTATTTCAGCATCTTATTCAATGATGTGAAATGAAGTTTATTATCTTCATTTATGGGCAAATAACAAATATTCTATTAAATAATAAATAATATAGGATATCCTATATTAAGTAATAAATAATATTACATATTTTTGGTAAAGTAATATGTAATATAAAAATCAATTCTTTACAGATTATCTCAGAATATTTTCTTCAATTCTCAACATTATTATAATCTTGTATAAATAGTCAAATTAAAAAACACACTAAAACTCAGATTAAAAGAAAGTTTCTTGAGTAGAGTCCATTTAAATTCTAAACTGAACCTCCAAAACCAGATGATTTTGTATAAGTAAAATCCACTCTGACCTGGTATTGCACTCTTGCTACCGTGAAAGTAGTTCATGATGTGCGAATGACAGGAAAATGTCTAAATTTCAATTGTAGAACTTAATTACCTTTCTAACCAAAATGACATCATGATTATTTGTTATCAATTCAAAATAAATGTAGCATTTTTATTTTATCTGTGAAAAAAGATTATGTCTTATGCCATATAGAGATCACGGATGAACATATTAACATCATTACTGATGTCAAAATAAGTATGGTATTTCCTTTATGTATATTCTTTGTCCTAATGATTACAAAGAAAAGAAAGACAAATTACATTAAAAAATTCTCAGATATCTGTTTTATTTTCACTGAAATTCAGAAAACAAAGTTCTAAAATAATACCACTTCAACAACAAAATTTATATTTATTATCAGATATTATGCTATATTGAATTCTAAGAAGTTATATAATATCTACTTAGAATTAAAATAAATTTTATCTCAAAATTAAAATATAGTAAATGATTTAAATATCATTAAAATTTTTAATTGGCATTACTTTACTTTTGTTTCAGTCACCAGCTAATATTGTCCCAATTATTATTGTTACAATTAATCTTCTATGTCTTTTTAGCTACCAAGCCACACCTTCAATTTGTTTTCTGTTTCCACTTTAATTATTCCATCAATCATTCACTCAATTAGTCAAATATTTCTTGAACCTGTAGTGAACACTGGATAATTAGGATTCCAGGAAGTATTATACATTAATTTATATCCCTCATCTATTCATTAATTTATTCAGCAAGTATCTACTGATTACCAATAATGTTCTGAGAATTATACCAGATGCTTAAATCCAAGAACAAACATGGCTTGATACATTTTTTCATTAATAAACTCATAACCAATGTGTTTATCTGACAATAAATATGTATTGGCCTTGAATGAAAGTCATGAAAATGTTTTATAGTTATCCAATTTTTTTTAATGAATTACATGTATTTTAAATATATTTATCTAAAAATGACTTGTATATTTCACTGAAGAGAAATATACAACTATAAAGGAAATAAGACATTAGGCAGATTGTTAGTTATCATTAGAATACTAGATTTGAGACTTATTGAATATCTGCTGTATCATAGCATTAACAATATTAAATTTATGATAGATTTGTGATAATTATTAATAGATTATATGTTTTAAAAATTAAATTTAAAAGTAAATAATGATTGTTACCATTTTAATATTTCCCCTAATCTTCATTTTATAAGAAAAAAGATTATCTAAGAAATACTTGAAAATGCTCTAAATTTATTTTAGCAAGTGTTAAGAAAAAAATACATTGTCTTATTTGTCTTGGTATGGTTTTATAATCCATGATCTCTTGCAAACAGTTGCATTGTTGTTTATAGCATAATGACATAATCAGCATGCTTATCTGAATTAGCTGAGAACTCTATTTAAGAGTAAAGATGAACCTGAGGTACTGCATTCTAGATATAGAATGGCCTTATCCTAGGTATTCTAAGAATAGCTCTTGGCTGACAGAGGATTAGGAAGAAATCTTGTCCATGACTTGTGCTTAATCATATATGCCCCTAGATCTTTTTCCCTCTCTTTCTATTCTTTTCTTCCTTTGATCTAGGTTTATTAGTATAGGGATGGCAATTAGTCATATAAAAAGCCTATTTAGGGAACCCACCCTTTACACTAATGAGAGATATTTTTCACCTTGCTTCAAATATTTCCTTTGTTAAAAAAATAGATAATATTGATATAATAGATCCTATTTGTAAAATAAGTCCATTTCAATTATTATAATATTAAAGAATTTAAAATTTTCTTTTTGCCATAGGTGTCACCAAGACAACCAGAGCTGTTCTGAAATTTAGCATTTTGGTAAATTCGGTAAATTTTGGTCTAAGATCCTTAGTAGTTTGATATACAAAGATGAATAACTGAAGGTCGAACTTAAAAGAAAGGAATACTGGTATACACATTTACCTCCAACAGGATTGATGTAACCTTAATAATTATTCACTAAGCATATAAGAACTTTGCATATTTTATTTTGAGATTGGCATTTTAAAATTAAATACAAATAAACTCTGGAGAAGAAAAATAATACTATACCAAATTTGGTAGTAATAAATTATTACAGAAATTTCTTAGATTACTTAAATGAACAAATGATTATGCCAAATATAGGAAAAAG